TCCCTTGGTGCTGTCATGTTTGATGTTTGTGTGGATACACATGGAACAAGAGACCCTACAACAATCTGGTGTTTCCTATAAACAGAAGGTGGTTTGTTATAATCATTATTGCATTTATTTGAGAATATTGAAAAACTCTTTATCCCCTAAGGAAGTTGCAATGTTATTTTAACAGAAAGTCTTTCTTGTTAAAGTTTTTATTTGGGGGGTGGGGGCGGGGAGAGGTTTTTGCTATAGGGCCCATGAGCTCACCAGAGAGACAGAGAGACAGAAAACGAGAGATCACCCCCCAGGGCGGATGGCCACGCCGCAATCCCTTCTCCTCCATTCTCCTTTCAGGATCTTGGGCATGTGCCTGCCATGAGTTTAAGACACTGGGTTCAGGACTCAAACTGTGGTTAACTACATGGGAGTTCAGTGGCACCGCCATTACGCTAACTGCTGGTCCCTCTTGTTAACGTTTTAATGTTTGTAGAAAATTTTATTTGGCATTAGTAATTAAGTTAAACAATTAGTTTGTAAGGAAATTTTCACCATCACAGAAAAACACAGTTTTATTATTTTACAGGCAATATATAGGTTATGCTTTTCTTAATGGTTACTTGAGAATCATTAATGTAAAGAACAGCAGTGAAAAAAATTTTTATGGACCAGTGGATGACGTGATGGTTAGGTAGTTGTGGGTTTGTGTGAAATCCTGAGAGGAGAATGGAAGAGACTGCAGTGTGGCCATCCCCCTTGGGGTATGCCTTCTTACTTTCTGTTTCTCTGTCTCTTTTTTTGTGGAGAGGTTTTTGCTATAGGGTGCGTGCACTCACCAGGAAGATGGAGAGAGAGACAGAGGGACAGAAAGCGAGAAATCGTCCCCTAGAGGGTATGGTCACTCTGCAACTCCTCCTTTATTTTCCTCCTTGGATCTTGGGCACGCACGCACACGCACCCGACATGAGTTTAAGCCACCAGGTCCGGTACTTGAACTGCGGTCGATGACATGAGAGTCCAGCAACATAGCCATTATGCCAACTGCTGGTTCCTCTGTCTCACTGTCTCTCTGGCAAGCACACGTGCCCTGTAGCAAAAATCTCTCTACAAAAAAAATTAATATTTAAAAATTTTTAATATTTTAAAATTTATTTTAAATTTAAAGAATTAATGTAAGTGAGGGAATAGAGGACAAAAGGAATGCTCTTTATCTTATCTTGCTGTTTTCACATATCTTTTTTAGTCAGAAAAATGTTTATGTTGCCCAAGTTGATTTATGAATGTGATCATAATGTGGTATTTACATTTCCATTGTTTTTCTGGTCATCTTGATTCAAGATGCTTATTCTGTCACCTCAGTGATTATGCCCTCAGCCCAAACCTTTTTATGCAACACAGTATACCCTGAATTGGCTAAAACCCAACCAAATTTTAAGGACATCTTTATCTTACTGAGCCAGAGAGTTAAATTGATGTCTCTTGTCTTTTTGAGAATTGAAGGTAATTCTGAGAAATAGGTGATAGAATATTTACACTTTTACTGAATGAATATTGTAGAAAAACACCTTTGTGGTGGATCCATCCATAACTGATTAAATTTCTGGAGGGTAATAGACAATTTAGAATAATTAATTTTAATGGAGAAACTTTATTGAAGTATGTTGAATGATTGCTGGTTTTTAGCTTTCAGCCCTGGAATATTAGAGCATACAGGAAAAGCAGTTTGGGTTAGATTTATTCAATATATCTGTAGGCTATTGAGGGTCATTGTGTCACTTTTTAAATCCTATTTTTTTTAAGAGGTTTTTGCTTAGTGCCAGGCACTTGTGGAGAGAGAGCCAGTGAGAAGGGAAGTGAGAAATCACCTCCCTAAAGGGTATGGCCATGCCACAGTCCTTTCTCCATTCTCTTTTCAGGATCTTGGGCACACATGCACATGCGCCAGTGTAAATTTGAAGCCACTTGGTCCGGGACTCGAACCACGAGTGGCCATGTGGGAGTCCAGCAACGTAACAGCTACGTAATCTGCTGGCCCCTTAAATCCTGTTTTAATCAGAAGCAAATCTGTCTTTTTCTTGAAAAGAGTATTAAAGCATCTCAAGAATTTACTGGAAAATTACATGAGTCGAGGTGGGGAAGTCTTTTAAATGCATTGTTTGTTTTTTAGAAGCAAGGGGATAAGCAGGAATACACCCATTTTGTTGTAACTGAATGACTATTTTATTTACCAAAGAAAAGAATATTTTACCTTTTTATAGAAGAATTTCTCAGCAAATAGAAATAACAGAAGAACAAAGAACAGAAATCTGTAATTTTTGCCATGTTTTGTAATGCTTTACCATACCTAAGATCAGGATAATCTCTGAGAAATCAGGTCTTTGAAAGGGAGGAACTATGTAGGGATTTAAAAGTGCAGCATGTGTATAGGATTAGAAAAAATTGCATTCTCACTTTTATTACGCACACACCAGAACTACAACTTTACTCAGTGTGTTATTAGTAGTATGTTTTACTTGTTGGCAGGTTTTATTAAAGGATAATTAAGGCATAGGAAAAGGTACATTGTTAATTTTTTTTTTTAAATCATCACGGGGTATATTTTTAGCCATTGTAAATTTACCTCTGGGTTTAGAAGTAATCCAGCTATTATGGTGCATTAATATGTTTCTTATTATCTCCCAGCTCACGAGTACCCAGTTCTCCTGTAACCCCGACGTAACTCATTTCCGACAGCTGGCTCTGGATGACATCCGTAGGGCCTTTTTCCTTGTATCCTTTGCTGAGTCTTTTAAGAGCTACAACTTCCCATTTAAAGGATTAAGAAGAAACGGAAGGTTTTTCTGACTGTTACTTAATAGTGGTATTACCCTAAGGGCCATTTAACTCTCTCTCAATCATGTTTGCTTATGTAGTTCACACTTAAACTTTTTTTTAAATTATAGAAAAGTATAAAGAATTAAATAACAAACGTGTGTGTGTGTTTGCATTTCTACCATTCAAGATTAGCAACAATTGGGCCAAGGGGTTGAAAGCTAGGTCCCTCACAGACAACCACATGGTCCAGTCCTGGCCCCTATAGCTTGTAAAACATGCTGAGTGCATATGTGTTCGTGTCCCAAATCTTGGCAGGATAGAGAAATGGAAGAGAAGGGATTGCAGGGTTAACACACTCCATTGTAGGGTGCTTTCTTCTTCTCTTACTCTGTCTCTCTGTTAAGTACACCTGCCCTCTTAAGGAAAAGAAAGATATTAACCATATTTTGTCTTATGTGCTTTTTTTTTTTTTGGAAGAGGTTTTTGCTATAGGGCGCTTGCGCTCGCCAGACAGACAGAGAGAAACAGAGAGACAGAAAGCAAGAAATCACCCCCAGGGGGGATAGCCACACCGCAATCCTTTCTCCTCCATTCTCCTCCTGGGATCTTGGGCACGCATGCACACGCACTGGGCGTGAATTTAAAGCACCAGGTCTGGGACACGAACTGTGATCGACTACGTGGGAGTCCAGCGACATAGCCATTACGCTAACTGCTGGTGCCTTATGTGCATATTTTTTTAAAAATTAAAACATTGCGAATAAAGTCAATCTCCTTTTAATTTCCATCTCCAGCCTAATCTTCATCCTAAAAGTAACCGTTATTATGAGTTTATGTATTTTTATGTATGTTTTCTTCCACCCTTCTGTTATATGACACATAGATAGCATCTATTTCACAAGGGTTTTTGGATCACATGGAGGCAATATTGTGAAAGTTATTAGTATTTAAAGTCTGAAAGACAGTATGACAGAATAGTCTCACTTTGAAATCAGCTTCAAGAAATTCACAGGGAGGCTGTTTATTTATTTATTTTTTTCAGCATGATCGAAGTATAACTGACAGATACAAAATCCATGTATTTAGTTGTATAAATTGATGTCTTGATACACATACTTTACAAAATGATCAGTACAGGCAAGCCAATTAACATATCCATTGCCTTACATAGTTACAATGTTCTTTGTGTGTCTGCGTGTACACAAGTGGCAAGAACACTTTTTTAAGATTTCAGTATGCAATATGATGTTATTAACTCTAATCACCATGCTGTATGTTAGATCTCCACATCTTGCATAAGCGAAGCTTCGTACCCCTTGGTCAGCATCTCCCTGTTTCCTCCTCCTCCCAGCGCCTGGTAATCTTTATTCTCTCTGTTTTTAAATTCAAATATTTTATTTTTATATTTATTTTTTAAAATTTGCCAAGGGCACATGCGCTCAGCACAGAGAGAGAGAAGGATAGAGTAGGAGGAGGAGAAAGTCTCCCCGTTGGGCATGGTCACACTGCAGTCCCTTCTCCTCCATTTTGCCCTCCTTTCAGGATTTTAAGTAAATATGCAGGGACCAGCAGTTAGCTTAATGGCTATGTTGCTGGACTCCCATGTAGTCGACCGCGGTTCGAGTCCTGGACCCAGTGGCTAAAACTCGGGCTCCAGGCGCGTGTGCGTGCGTGCCCGAGATCCCGAGAGGAGAATGGAGGAGAAGGGATTTCGGTGTGCCATCCCCCCTGGGGAATGATTTTTCGCTTCCTGTCTTTCTGTCTCTCTCTGTCTATCTGGCAAGGGCATGTGCCCTATAGCAAAAAGCCTCCCTCCCCCTCAAAGAAAGCATACATGCACATATACCTGGCATGTTTTTCAACCCACTGGGTCCAGGATTTGAACCTGGTAGATATGTGGAATCCAACTCTCTTAACCACCAGGCCAAGGTCTGGCCCCTAAGTTCAGTGGTTTTAGATTCTACATATGAGATCATACAGTATTTGTCTTTCTGGATCTGGTTTAGTTCATTTAGTATAATTCTCTAGGTTCATCCATATTATCACAAATGGTAGGATTTCCTTATTTTAAAATTTTTAAAGAGAGGTTTTTGTCATACGGCATGTGGGCTTGCCGGAGAGACAGAGACAGAGAGACAGCCAGAAATCACTCTCTGGGGGAATAGCCATGCCACAGTCCCTTCTCCATTCTCCTTAGGATTTCGAGCATGCACACACACACGCCTGGTGTGAATTTGAAGGTGCTGTTTGGGACCTGAACTGCGGTCAACTTTGTGGGAGTCCAGCTACATAACCATTATGCCATCTGCTGGTCCCCCTTCTTCTTTTTAAAATTTATTTATTTATATCCTCTATGACAGGGGAAGGAGGAAGGAGAGAGGAACAAAGAGGCTTATACCCACAACAGGGTCCTCATGCCATGATCTGCTGTCAGCCTCAGTCAGCTGGGGTCACAGGCAGGTACCGGGCACCATCTCATGTGGGTCTACTTGGATGACTGCTGTGCCACCATCCACCCGAGATTTCCTTTTTTAAGGCAGAATAGTATTCCACGGTGTGTATAGACTTTTTTTTTTAACTCACGTATCTGTCAGCAGACATTTAAGTTGTTTCCATGTTTTGGCTACTGTGAGTAATTATGCTTTGAACAGGGGAGCACTGATACCACTTTAAGATAATGATTTTATTTCCTTGGACACAAGTCAGAAGTGGGATTGCTGGATCGTGTGATAGTTTGATTTTTAATTTTTTGAGGAAACGTCATACTGTTTTTCACAATGGCTGTACTAACTTATTAATTTATGTTCCCTCTGGCAGTCCACAGGGGTTCCCTTGTCTCCATAGCCTGGCAAACATTTGTTATCTGGAAGTTTTTCTGAATAACCATCCTGACAGAGATGAGGTGATATCTCACTGAGATTTTGTTCTACATTCCCCTGATGCTTAGTGATTTTGAGCATTTTCTTATGTACCTGTTGACTGTTTGTATGTCTTCTTTTGAGAAATGTCTATTCAGGTCCTTAGCTATTTTTTTTTTAAACTGGGTTAATTTAGTTTTTTGCTATTGAGCTGTAGGAGTTCCTTGCATTTTGGATATTAACCCTGACAAATTTATGGTTCATAAACATTGGAGATCTCCTTCAAATTTGCTGTGGTGCAGAGTCTGTTACTTCTCGGGTTTGGGAAATAAATATTCTCATTTTCCTTCCCACCTCATACTTTCATTCTCAATTTTGCTTTCTCTCTGTCTTCCCAGGTTTCTTCCACTCTGCTAGTACTAATAAAACACTTTTTTCCTTAAACTCAGCCTCCCTCTACATTATAATTTCATCTCGTCCTTTCTGTTTGTTACCAAACTTCTTGAAAGAATAATTTGTCGTCGCTGCGATTGTTCCTTCCCTTTTGATGTACCGTGTCCACCTGCCACGACTCTGCCTGGCGCCCGGGAGAGCGCTCTCAACATGTGTGAGACGTCTCTGCCGCAGCCGTGCTCCGGTGTCCTGCTAGGGCTGCCTCAGCACAGTCCAACCCACTCAGCTTACTTGACTGCACTGTAACATTCAGTTCTGTCTATTTTTCTATTTTTTTTCCCTCTTGACATCCAGAATATTATCCAGGTACGCAGCTTTTTCTTTCTTTTGTCTTTTTCTAAAACCTCTTTCTTTGCCTGACCTTGAATCGTACATTTTTCTCCAAACTCCATCATCAACCTTCTCTTCTGGCAAGGTTAGTCTCCTCTGCACTTGTTTAAGGCCGTCCTCTCCCGTAGCTTTGACAGCCACGTCTGTGCACTCAATTCCGAGATCTGCTTTTCCAGCCTAGACCTCTCTCAGACCTTGAGAGCCACGTGTGCTGTACTCTGCCGGACATCACCAAACATGCCCAGACTGACCAACAACCGCCACTTCTCCAAAGATCTTCTCATTGAACGGCTTCACCATACCCTCCACCACCCAGGCCCTCAAACCGTTGTCATGGTTTACTTCTCCTGGTCCACTTGTAAAGCCCCACTGGCTGCCCTGCTTCTCCATTTGGCCTCCGCAGCAGCAGTTCACACTCCTTATCTCTGACACGGACGTCTGCACTCGCGCCCTGATCGAACCTCCGACCTCCAGTGATTTGTCTCCCTGATCTAAATACTGCACAGTCACTGGCATTTCTTGATCACGCAGCTCACCTGAAATGTCTGCTACTCTTCGTGTGTCCACAGTGAAGGTCAGAGCTTTTTATTAAGGACACCACCAGTCTGTGCTTCTTGCTTCACCTGGTAGTGTATCCTTCAGTAAGCCCTCCGCTTTTGTTACACCTTATTTACTGTTTCTTGGCCACGACGTTTATTTCCCCAACTGTTTCTTTACTTTAAAATGTCTCTCGCCCAGTTCTGTGTCTCCTCATAACCGTGGCCACCACATGCGCACTTCCATACTATTGCATCTGTTCGTAGTGCCTAGCTCTGTCTCTGACATGGGCAACACGAGACGACGGATGTTGGTTGGTTAGATGATTGGCTGAACGAGTAAATCCGTAAGTGTCTTTCAGGCTCAACTGACCGACCCAAACAACACTTTCTCACTAAAAGCCATTAGGATTTGGTTTTTTTTCAGTGTTTTAACCATGTATTTTGCCTATAGTAATGTATTTGCCTGTAATAATAGAATATCTAACACTTACTGAGTCCTTTCAGTGGACCAGGTACAGTTTTACGCACATTCCTAACAGCATGTTTACGGACACCAACAGGATTAATATCTGCTTTTCATTACTATGCTAATACAAATGTAAGTTTAGAAAACGTCATAGAGATGTTCAGCATTTTCTCATGCCTCATTCTCTATTCAAATTTTTTTGTCGTCATTGAAATTTTTTTTTGCTATAGGGTGCATGCACTTGCTGGAGAGATGAGAGAGAAAGAAAGCGAGAAATCACCCCCCTAGGAGGTATAGCACATCACAGTCCCTTCTCTTCCATTCTCCTCTTGGGAATTTGGGCACACACACACATGTGCCCTGCATGAATTTCAGGCCACTGGGTCTGAAATTTGAACCGCGGTTGACTATGTGTCATAGTGGCATAGTCTCAGCTTTTAGGAGTTCAGACTTCCAGTGGAATTACCTCCAGTAATTGATGTTCTTCCCCTTCTTTCTGGTCTCTATGCTTGCCTGTTCCCTCTAACAAATCCCCTCTACCATAGCACCTGCCTCATTTTTGACTGGTTACTTCTATTTGTTAAAATAAAGACACATACCTGTCTAAAATCTGTTTACCTTCTGTTCAGAATACATAAGTAATCATTGTTAAAGGTGCATGTTCTCGTAATAGAATTAATATCTACTTTTTGTTACTACACTAATACAAACGTAAATTTAAGAAATGTTAAAAAGCTGTTCAACATTTTCTTAGCAACATAACCATTGTACTCTCTGCTGGTCCCCGGCATAAGTTTGAAGCCACCAGGTCTGGGACTCGAACTGTACAGGACTACATGGGGGTCCAGTGACTTGTCCATTATGCCATTTGCTGCTCCCATTTTTATTTTATTTACCTTCATTGTCCTCACCATCTTGTTTCTTTAATGTGAGTCTTTTGAAGTACGCTCACAGGAAGATATATAGAACATTCATTTAAAAGAATTCACAACAAATATACAAGTGAAAACGCAAACTGCTCTAATGGTAGAATTAAAATATTTTTTCTAAGTGAAAAATTTATGTGAATTCTGACTTGTTTGGCATTTCCTTAACTCTGTTTAGGTTTTTTTCTTAGTGACAGCATTTTTTGGAACTGGGAACATAGCTTCTATTAACAGGTAATTTTAATGAGAACAGCATATATGTGTAACAAAAAAATAAACAATGCAAGTTGGGACCTTTCAACCTTTTGTCCTGTACCCTGCTTCTTATACTGAATGTGTTGTGGCAATTTGGTGTATGTTTATCACTGCATTCTTATCACCTTTCATTTAGTGGCTTCATGGTGCTTGTGTAAGACATAACTTGTGTTTTAATAAAAATAGATCTCAGAGAATTAGCTTGACATTATTTTTGGCAGCGCATTCTCTTGAAGTTTCGATGTGAATTCTAAATCCTTTTTCTTTATGTTACGATTTTCTAGTTTTGATCTTGCCTCTGTTTATTGCTTTCTGACCGTATTCAGTCCTTTCATGATGGGAGCCCTAATGATGTGGAAGGTGAGTTTTCTTACTTTAGTATTTTTATTAAGCTCTTGGTTAATTAAGATTATGAGCTCATCGTGGCATTAAGATTACATATTATCATAGGACACTAAGATTTTAAAATCATGGTGGTGGAGTCCAATAGCAACGGAAGGAAGATACCTTTTAGACTTGGCTTAGATGCCGCTGCTGAACAGGAGGTGGGCCCTCTAGCCCTTCTTCCAAATACAGTTCATCTTTTTGCTTTACTCTTAAGCCCCTTTGACCTCAAAAGAATAAGGATACCCTGTTAGTCCTGGAAAGTACTATCAGACGTGATGAAAGCCTGTGAGGAAGCTATGCTCAAAACTGCAGTGTTGCTCAAGATTCTGTAGTTCCCCACCCATGAGACTGCCAACTTGTTGCCATCTTTTCCCATAATCCGTGTACCTAGACTTGACCTATTCCTTCAACAAATATGTTATTGAGTGCTTCATTCAATAATGTGCCGGAGCCATTCTAAGTTCTCTTTTATTTATAAATATATTGTAGGTTGGGTGCTTACAATATGAAGATAGTGAGTGGCATAGTCTCAGCTTTTAGGAGTTCAGACTTCCAGTGGAATTACCTCCAGTAATTGATGTTCTTCCCCTTCTTTCTGGTCTCTATGCTTGCCTATTCCCTCTAACAAATCCCCTCTACCATAGCACCTGCCTCATTTTTGACTGGTTACTATCTATTTGTTAAAATAAAGACACATACCTGTCTAAAATCTGTTTGCCTTCTGTTCAGAATACATAAGTAATCATTGTTAAAGGTGCATGTTCTCGTAATAGAATTAATATCTACTTTTTGTTACTACACTAATACAAACGTAAATTTAAGAAATGTTAAAAAGCTGTTCAACATTTTCTTAGTAACGTGCTCTATTGAATTAATTTTAAAATGTTTTCTTAATTTTCATTCACAATTTTAGAATTACTGATAATTTGTTTCTCTGTCTACTAAAGACCATTGGCCTTTAATGAAAACAAGAAAGAAAGAAAGAAAGGAAGAGCTCAAATTAGAATGCTAGATCCTTAATCTCTGACATAAGTTAGTAAGCTTTAATGACATAATATACTTAATGGCTTTTGTTGACTTATATGTCCAGAAATGAGGGCGGGACATCCTAAACTTGGTTTTATTTATATCTCTTTCACTTGAAGTCTTATCCAGTATCAAACATTTACTTTCCATAGCAGCACCTCCCTTTTATGAAACATCAAGTATATATACATATATTTTTTAAGAATTATTTATTTAATTCTATTTGTTATTGTTATTTATTTATTTTTAAATTTGACCACCAGAGAGAGAGAGAGAGAAAGGGAAAGCGAGAAACCAATCCACCAGGTTCAGGACTTGAACCATGGTCGGCCATGTGGAAATCCAGCACCCTTATCTACCACACCACCTGCTGGCCCCTATATATATATATATATTTTTTTTTTTTACATTAGTCATTGGAAAAAAATCATACCTTAGAATATTAACAGTGTTAGCTCTGTATTATGGAGTTTTCAATTAATACAGATTTTGTTGGGTTACCTAACATGCTTTTCTTTATGTCTTTTCAAATTTATCATAATGAGTATGAATTTTGTAATCAGAAATAAGTTTTTTTGTTGTTGTTTTTTAAAGTTTGCTATAGGGTTTGTGTACTTGCTGGAGACAGAGAAAGAGAAAGAAGGAAGGTGAGAAATCATCCCTGAGGGGAAAGAGATGGCCACACAACAATCCCGTCTCCTCACTTCTCAGGATTTTGAGCATGCACACATACCTAATGTGATTTTTCTTTTTTGAGAGGTTTTTGTTATAGGGTGCGTGCACTTGCCAGAAAGACAGAGAGAGACAGAGAGACAGAAAGCAAGAAATCACCCCCTAGGGGTGATGGCCACACCACAATCCCTTCTCCATTCTCCTCTCTGGATCCTGGGCATGCGCACACACACGTGCCCAGCGTGAGTTGAAGCCACCGTGTCTGGGACTCAAACCACGGTCGACTACATGGGAGTCCAGCAACATAGCTGTTACACTAACTGCTGGTTCCCCAGTGTGATTTTTAAAGGTGCTAGGTCTAAGACTCAAACTGCTCAGTTGGCCATGTGGGATCTATTTGCCTTAACCTCCATGCCACCTGCTGGCCCTAGATGGTATTAAACAAAAAGCAGTTATAAAAACAAAGTCTTATTTAGTGTTACAGTTTCAAATAGCCAGGGTTAAAGGTTCTGCTCGTCAAGTTATCAGGCTACATGATTTATTCTGTTTAAGCTTTCCTTATCTTTTATATTCTCTTGGACTCCATAGAATTTTGTCATTAATTGTTAGAATGAGTTTAATGGCACAGAATTTGTAAAAGGCTTTTATTTAGAATATGTATTGATATTTGCTATCTTCTATATTGCATATGTTATTAATGTAGATTTTTAAATTCAGTTTATTTCTGTTTGATGTGTAATTGGTATCATGCTTTTTAGTGTTTGCTTTTTACTAGTCTATATAAAGGTTATTTGAGAAATTGAAAATATTCCTATAAACAGAAATAGTATTTATTTGAAAAATATTTCAAATGCTTCAATTATCCATTGTGTCATTTGTTGTTCTATTAAATAGATTTTAATCCCCTTTGTTCTTGTGATGTGTGCTTTCGAAGCAGTTCAATTAACTACCCAGTTATCATCAAAAGGGTAAGTTGAATTAGTGTATGAAACATTCATTTTGCTCAATTTTAGACAATGAGAGTAAACATTTGAAGATATTTCATGTGATCACGATTAAGACTCTGTAACATAAATTGCTACAAAAATGAGAAATATTTCACCTTTTTAGTTAGAGTTCAGTTGTCATTAGAAAGAATTAGTTGATTAGGGTCTCTAGGAGACAAACATTGCTTTCTCAGCAATAAAATGTTATTAGACTACTATTGAAGCTAGTGAAGAACCTTATAGAAAACAGTAAGACGCAAGTGTTAAATTATTGCAGTTAATTACTTGTTCGTTACAGGGATTAATGCACCTACAGAAAAACAAGGGCTATCACTTGAATCTTTTGGCTGATTTCTTAAATATGTATTAGACAAATTTGTTGACATTATTCATCTTACATGACTTGAGATGAACTTTTCTGTCAGTAATGTACACAGTTGCTCAGTCTTGATTTCTACACATTTGACAAATGGAGTGAGAAGTGTTCTTTCTGAGTTTTGAGGAATTTCTAGAGCCATCTGTCTTAAGCAATCAAGACTATGAAGGAGAAGTTGGCAGCTTAACTATTTGCTTTTTTTTTTAACCAATAAAATTGCTTCGTCAGCACAGGGACTCTGAAAGCTTCTTAGCAGTTTTGTTATTCTTGAATCAAGTGGCATATTCAATGCTGAAAGAAATAACTAATATTAGCATAAATTTGCATGTTGTTCTTGATGAGTTTAAACTAGAGCTGGGTTTAGCACATTATTATGCATATGCTATAATAAAAAAGTTTTCTTTCTATTGCTTGAGAATAGAAAACTAGAAATTTCATTTCTAGCTTTATTTAGTATATTTTTGTAAGGTAGTTCCATAACTTTTATATTGAAAGCATTTATGCTTTGTTAAAATACATAGAAGATAGCTACTTAGATGCAATAAAAACAGATAATGTGACATGTATTTTCCTGCATCTTTGTTAATAGATAACCTTTTTAGAAAGGATTTAAATCTAAGTAAGTTATGAGGACATGTGGAATAAAAGTAGAAGGCTCATCAAAGTCAGTGTGTGTATTTGTGTGTGTGTGTAGTCATTCTACATTGAGATAATGCAATGAAAAAATAAACACAAAGGGAAAGAAGAGAGGCAAGGTGGAAAACTATAAAAATCTTCTCTTTTGACATTTAAACTCTCACAAGGCACTGATATTTCCCCATGGATATCACACTGACTCCTCAAATTTAATGCTACACATTGAACCCAGCAATTCCCTTTCGTAATATTTAAAACTAGCTTGTCAACCTGCTTCTTTAATCTATCACATAAGCCAAATTCCATCCATCCCTAACTGCCATATCCACTTGTTAAATATCATTGTACCATATCTTCTTCATGTGTATGTGTGTTTTAATTTGCTAGAGGGCATGTGCATGTATCAGAGAAACAGAGAGACAGAGAAAGAGAAAATGAGAAAGCATCCCTCCTAGTGTGGGTGGTCACGCTGCAGTCCCTTCTCATGGGATTTTAGATGAAACCAGCATGTTTACTCAGTCCTCCAAATCTACGCAGTTGGCCACGTGGGATCCAGCTGCCTTAACCATTACTCTACTAGCTGACCCTCAACCTTTTTTACCCACATTTTTTTTCTTTTAGTTTTGCTATAGGTCCTATGCACTTGCCAGAGAGAAAGAGAAAGTGAGAAAGCATCCCTCGTGGGGAATGACCGTGCGACAGTCCCTTCTCCACTCTCCACTAGGGGTTTTGGGCACATGAGCACATGTACCTTGATTGTTTCTCAAGCCGCTGAATCTGAGACTTGAGAATGACTGTGTGGGGGACCAGCAGTTAGCGTAATGGCTATGTTGCTGGACTCCCATGTAGTCGTCTGTGGTTCATGACCCGGACCCAGTGGCTTAAAACTCACGCCGGGTACATGTACGTGCGTGCCCAAGATCCCGAGAGGAGAGTGGAGAAGGGATTGCGGCGTGGCCATCCCCCCCGGGGGGGGTGATTTCTCACTTTCTGTCTCTCTGTCTCTGTCTGTCTGGCGGGTACATGCACCTTATGGCAAAAACCTCTCCAAAAAAAGAAAAAAAAAGAATGACCGTGTGGGGTCCAGTGCCTCAACCACTGTGACACCTGCTGGCTGCATAGTTTTAACTTTCCATAGTGTTATTTACTGTCATTTCTACCAACTCTATTTCTTCCTAGATTGACTTTTACTAGTGTTGTATGAAATCAGAAGGAAGAAGTTAAATCAAGTCTTGGATCTAAAAAATATTTTTGCAATGTGTAGTATTAGCCATTTCTAATTTTATTTTATACTGAGGACTTCTGCCGTTTATTCAACACATAATGTCTTGAGTTTCTATCATAAGCCAGGCACTGTTCCAGCCACTGGTGATACATTGATGAATAGAGCTTACCATCTATTCAGGGAGACGAATAATAAAATGAGTCTAATAGCAATAAAATTTCAAACAGTAGTAAATGTCAGGAAGAAAAATGATCCAAGGAGACCTTTCTAAAGAGAAGACATTTAAGTAGAGACCTGAATAAATAGAGTGAACCATGAAACCATGAGAGTAAAGAGCATTGCAAGCAGACGGAGTGGAATGCACAAAGGGCATGAGTGAAAAGCCACTTGGTGTATTTGAAGATGAGCCTTAAGCAGAGTGTGCTAACAGAAGAATCACAGGAACTGGAGGTGGAGCAGTTTACAGGAACAAATCATATAGGTCTGTTTAAGCTGGAGTTAAGACTTAAGGATTTTTTCAGTAGTGGCAAGAAGGTTTTAGAAGGTTTGGAAGCCCCTTGTCTCTGATGCCTGGGTGATAACTTTAGAAGGACAAGAGTGAATGCAGGGAGATCAACTAAGAGTCTGTTGCAGGTAAACTACCACAGTCGCTCAATGGAGGCAATAAAAAACTGACATTGTCACTTAGACAAAGATCCAGTAGCATGTCTGTCTGCCATTCCTTTTCTTTCTGCCTGACTTCCTTCTTTCTTCTTTTCTGTGCCAGCAAGTGTATGCACTCATCAGAGAGAGGCAGAGAGGTGAAGTACTCTCCACTGGGAATGGTCCTGCTGCCCTCCCTTCTCCTCCATTTCTTCCTCCTTCCTCCTTTCAGGATTTTAGGCATGCATGCACATGCACTCGGCGTGTTCCTCAAGTCACTAGGTGGGGACTTGAACTGCGTAGTCAGCCATGCAGGATCCAGCCACCTTAACCATACCACCTGCTGGCCCACATGTATTTATTTCTTAAATCCAAGTATTATTTTTGAAGCAATCTTATAGATTTGGGTACTTAATAGCTTCAAATCATCCTACATATCAAATGAGTCCATAAAACTAAACTTTCTTTATAGAAATATCGTACCTAGAGCAAGTGGAGTGATGATCTTACCTGCTTTATATCAGGTCACCATGAATTATGGAAGAGTGTGTGCAGATGGTTAGGAGCACAGGCTCTGGGGCCAGATTTGCCATGTTAGAATTCTACTCTCTTTCTTGTTAGCTGTATAAAACTGGGTAACTTACTTCTTTTTGTGTCTTGAAAAGCATCTTTCTTCTTGTTAATTAAGATTTAGTTCAAGGTTCAGATTCTTTGGTAACATTTTCTATACAACTGTCCCACTCCCCAAATCCTGTTCCTCCCCAACTCTTGGCTAAGTTAGGTAGCTCATACAGTGATAAAACTATTAATATTTAATATTTTTAAAACTATGGGAATTGTGTCTCCCAAAATTCTTATGTTGAATTCCTAACCCCTAGTACCTCAGAATATGACTGCCTTTGGAGAGAGGGCTTTTGAAATGTAATTAGAGGTGTAGCCATGGTATGTGGGCTGGTTGACACTGCTCCTTGGCATGCTGAGGCCATATGTGAGGCCTGGGTTCAATTCCTGGCCCACCCTAAAAGCCAGGTACAATGGTATGCACCTATAGTCCTAGCTACTTATAAGGCTAAAGCAGGAAGATCACAATATGGTGAGATCCTATCTAAAAAATAATAACTAAATAAAATAAAATAGAATAAAATAAGCCAATATGACTGATATCTTTAAAAGCAGAGGAGATAAAGGCCCAGCTGCTGCAGTGCAGTAGTAACTTGAGTGGCTGGCAAGGCTGGAAGCCATCTGACTGACCACAGGTTTGTATCCCCAAGTCAACCTGAAAACATGCCCATCATACATGTAGGCATGTGGGGTCCTCAGAGCTAGAGGACTGGAGAAAGGGGGTAGCAGTGTGACAAGACCCTGTCAAGGATGCATTCTCTCTCTTCACAACTGTTCTCCACTCTCAGGCATGGGTGCATACTCTATCATTAAAAGGAAGGAAGAAGAAAAGATTAGGACACAGACACACACTCATGAAGAATAGAGGCCTCACAATGAAACCGAGCCTTCTGACGCATTGATCTTGGAAGCCCCAAAGCTATGAGGAAGTTGCTGTTTAAGCTGCCTGACCTGTGACGCTTGCTATGGTAGCCTTGGGTGACTGATACATACTTTATGAGCCCCTTACGGCAGAGAGTGCGTCTTTAATCTCAAGTTTTGTTCAGGGACTGAGAATGAAGCCAGAATCAGGCACATATCACATTAGACACTATATTAGGTACTTTATATATGTTACCTGACTTAATTTTCCCAATGATACCATAAAATATTGATATTATTATGTCCATTTTATAGATAATGAAATGAAACTGAGAAAATAATAAGTTAATCAGATATGTCTTCAAAAGAATTCTAAAACAGTATTTGTCACATAATAAAATAATTTGTTTTAGAAAAATAAAATATTTAAAAAGACAAAACTTTTAGAAATACATTTAAAGGTCTGTTGCATTTGAATTGCATTTATTCTTTTTCTTCTGTTCCAGAAGAGCTGGGTCCATAGGGTGAAATTTTTGTTGTGCTTATTTTGATTCAAGGAAGAAGGAAAACACTTTGCAGTAATTGGATCTGTCTAAAATGGAGTGGATTCTGTTACTGGAACCACTAAAGCTAGTTAATGCTAGACAATGCCTTTATTAGGATTGTTACTTTGTGAATTCATGCTTTGGGTAAAAGGTTATACTTAATCACCATTGTATTCTTTACAAACTCTTAATCAGATGAACACAATTATATGCCCATTATATCAGGCTTGTTTAGAATAGAATTATACTTCAATAAGATATGATCAATCTGACTTGTAATATAGATGGTATATGTGAACTATTGAGTTACATTTCTGTATTTCTAACCTATAGTTACAATAAAGAGCAAGTCATAAACCTCAACTTAAAAACTCACAAGCTGGCGGCCAGCAGGTGGCGTAGTGGCTAGGGTGTTGGACTCCCATATGGCCAGTTGCAGTCCTGGACCTGGTGGCTTGAAAATCATACTGGATGTGTGTGTGTGCACCTGCCCAAAATCCTGAGAGGAAAATAGACCACAAGGGATTGAGGCTTCCTGGGTGGGTAGTGGGGGCAGGTAGAGGGGGTGGTTTACTTTCCCTCTCTCTGTCTGTCTCTGGTGAGTGCACCGTTCTATGGCAAAAACCAAAAGAACAAAAAAGGAAAAAAAAAATGTCGCACACTATGCTCAAAAGTTAACTAAAAATGGACTACAGAGATCAACTTTTAGAATGAAAAATAAGAGAAAATTTGGGGGATTTGGAATAGGCAGATAGGTAGACTTGGCACCACAATTATAGCCCATAAAAGGAAAAATTGATAAATGTAAAAACTTTTTTTTTTTCCCTATGAAAGACCCTGCTGAGAGGATGAGCAGATAGGCTACATGCCCAGAAGAAGGTATCTGACAAAGGACTAGTATAGAGAATATATATATTAGGAACTCTGAAAACTCAACAGTAAAAAACAAGCAGTTCCATCAGGAAAAGAACAAAACATCTAAAGAGGATATTTAGCTTGCACGTTACCCAATAAAAAGATATTCAGCATAATTACTCACCCAGGAAATGCACATTAAAACCACAATGAGATATCGTTACACACTTACCAGAATAGTTCATAACAGTGGCATAACCAAATACTTGTGAGGATATAAAGAAGTTGTTCTTATATTGTGCATGCCAGTGGGGATGTAACATGGCATAACAACTCTGAAAAGAGTTCTGCAGTTTCTTATGAACCTAAATACGTAATAACCATATACCTGGTCATTGCTCTCTTGGACATTTCCCTAGAAAAATGAAAACTTATGTTTGTACAGAAAAAAATATTGTATACAGATGTTTGTAGAAGTTGTATTTGTAATAGTCGAAAACTAGAAACAACCTTGATGCCTTTTAGGACTTTCATGAATGATTAAGCAAACCATTGTATGTAAATACAATGGAGTACTATTCAGCAATGAAAAGGAATGAACTATTCATACATTTTGGATGAATGTTGAGGAAATAATGCTGAGTGAAAAAAGCCAATTTCAAAAGACTTCTAAGTGTTGTGTAAATGATGCCGTTTGTTATATAAATGATATCATTTGCATAATACTCTTGAAATAACACAATTATAGAAATGGAGACCTGAGTGGTGGTTGCCAGGAGTTAAGGATTAGGCAGGGGAGTGGTTAGGGGAGGACAGATGAGGCTATGAAAGGGTATCACAAAGGATCCTTGTGATGGTAGGATCATTTCATTTCTTGACAGTATCAGTGTCAATATCCTGCCTGTAATAATGTTCCACAATCTTGCAATAGTTTTGCCAGATAGTGCCATTGGGGAAAAAGGGTATTTGTGATCTCTCTATATTATTTCTTGAAATTGCATATGAGTCTACTGTCATCTCAGTTTAATTTTTAAAGTTATAATTCCTATCCCTTACTTTCCACTTCAATAAATATTCAGAGCATTCAATTTGTGAAGCCCAGGCATCGCTGTGGAATGTTCACCCATGATAATATCAAAACAACTTGTTTCAAAGTGGTATTTTCAGCAGAGAAAATACATCAGAATGTAGATTTATGGGTTATCACTATGGCCTAGTAGTTAAGGGAGCCAGGTCCCACATGCTAAATCATAGTTTTAATCCTGGCCCTGACAATTTAGAGAACACACGAGGTGCGCGCGTGTGTGTGCAAGCCCAAAATCTCAACAAGTTGGAGAATTGGTAATCCCCTATCTAGGAGATTACAGCATGACCACACCCCACTGGAGACGCTTTATTCCTTTCTCTCTAACTCTCCATCTCTCTCTGGCCAGCACATGTGTTCTGTAGCAGTTAAAAGAGAGAGAGAATTGTCAGTTGATTATTTTCACTTGTAATGTGCTTGGAAAGTGTGCCTGTTGTATGTAATTTTTCTTGTTTTTTTTTTCTTCCAGCCTTTTTCTCATTGTTCTCGTCATATCAGACATTATGGCTTTGGTAAGGCATTATTAGATATTCGGTATAAATAAGATTGAAAAACTAAGTGCTGAGTTAATTTAATCAAGAGAAATGTTCATGCATTTCTGTATGTGAAATCTTTAGATACTGAGTTTTAAGCGATGACACAATTTACACATATAAATTACTTTCATTTTATATTATTATGCAGTAAGAGCATTTGTCTTAAGGTGTCAAAAGTACTTGACTGTTCAAACCTGTCATTTTATACCTAGTTTTCCATGTTGTTTTGTATCTGAAATAAGCCTTCTGTGTGAAATTAACAAAAAAGGCTAACTTTAGATTTAGATAACACATTTAGATAACACATTATTTTCTTACTTAGAATGTTGGGTTTTTTTAACCCTTCTTTCAGAATTAAAAAAGAAAAGAAAACGGGGGGGAGGGGTAGAGAAGGAAGAAAAAACTGGAAATACAGCTTTTTTAATTGAGAAGATGTTATCAAGATGATAGCAATGATGAATGAACTCTGAATGAGGAGCATGTAAGCAGGCCTGCTGTATTTAACAAAAAGTGGAAACTGTTTTACATATTCAAGTCTAGTAATGTTCTAGTTGGTTCTGTTGCTAAAAAAAATAAAATACTTGAGTTGGGTAATTTTAAGAGAATAGAGGTTTATGTAGCTCATTGTTTTGGAGGTCCAAGGTCAAAGAATTATGTTCTGTGAGAGTCTTGTTTGTGAGGTCCTGAGACAATGCATATGGCAAGAGCTTGAACAGAACATGTCTGTCTGTCTTACTCTCTCTCCTATAAACTCACGAAGACTCGATTATGGGACCCCACCCTAATACCAGATCATTTCTCAAAAAGGCCCCACGCTTCAACACCATAATGGGTTTAATCTCCACATTCTGAACACTATTACATGACTCAGTAAATTTTAACACATGAATTTGGAGAAGACATATTCAGACCATAACAGGCCACCCTCAGGTTCAGTAATTCACTGTGAGGATTTATGGAACTCACTGTTATACTTAACAGTTATGGTTTATTACTGTGAAAGGATAGGGATGAAAATCAACCAAGGGCAGAGTTCAGGGGGCTTCAAAGCCAAGCTTTTGTTGTTGTCTCCCTGTGGATTCAGGGTGGTGTTATTCTCCTAGCATTGATGTGTGACAGTATATGTGGAGTCATGCAGGCTAGTCAGCCTTACATGAGCTTTGTTATCCAGACTTTTTATTGGGTCTTGATCATGTAGAACTGACACCACATGGCCCAAAGCCCCTCATTATAAATCACATTATTAGACAGTCTGATGACCAAGGCTCCAGACAAAATAGTTCTGATAGGCATGACATTTCAAGGATCTAGAAATCACCTCCTAGAGAACCAGCAGTTGGTGTAATGGCTATGTCACTGGACTCCCATGTAGTCAACCATGGTTCTAGTCCTGGACCTGTGACTTAAACTCATGCCAGGTGCGTGTGTGTGCATGCCTAAGACCCTGAGAGGAGAATGGAGTAGAAGGGATTGTGGTGTGGTCATCCCCTTGGGGGGTGATTTCTCACTTTCTCTCTCTCTGCCTCTTTCTGTCTTTCTGGCGAGTGCACACACACTATAGCAAAAACCTCTCCAAAAAAAAAAAAAAAGAAAGGAGAAGAAAGAAATCACCTCCCGGTAGCTGAGGGCAGAGACCAGCCTTCTTTTGAATGAGGTTAGTTCTTCACTATATGACATTCCATGCTAAAAGGGATTAGAGAATATGATTGCAGTAACTCCCCACATCAGATTCCTTGTTACTTGATTTATTTTATTTTAATTTGCTAGAGGTGGTATACACTTGCTAGAGAGAGGGATGGCAGAAAGCACGCCCCCACAATGGGGCATGGTCATGCAGTGATCTCTTTTCTTTTCTTCCATTTCTGCACCCCATTGGGATTTTTGGGCAAGCATACACATGTGCCCAGCATGTTTTTCAAGCCAGTGGGTCTGAGAGTCCAGTGTTTGGTCAACCATGTGGGATCTGGCCAGTCCTAGTTACTTGATTTAGATGAGTTTTTTTGCTTTGTTTTGTTTTGTTTTAAGAGAACTTTGCTTTAGGATACATGCCCTTGCTCAAAAGAGATAAGACAGGGAGGCAGAGACATTGAGAGGGAAAATGAGAAATCACCCCCTGGAGGATGGCAATGCCACAATCCCTTCTTCGCTATTTGCCTGTCAGGATTTTGGGCACACATGCTCACCATGAGTTTTTAGCTACCAGGTCTAGGACTTGAACTGCGGTCAGCCCTCTGGGAGTCCAACGGCATAACCATTATGCCATCTTCTGGCCCCATGAGAGAGTTTTTGTGTTCTGTTGAACCATGTATATTTCTGAAATTGACCACATATAGTATTAGAACGAATCGGCTTTCTTTTTTGCTCACAAAGTAGTTAATAGATAAGACTTATTTATTAATTAATTTATTGATTGATAGAGTATTTTTTGCTATAGGGAATTTGCATTTGCTTGAGAGACAAAGAGAGAAATCCCCCCCCCCCCCAAGGTGATGGCCATACTGCAATTTCTTCTCCTCTCTGGGTTTTGGGCATATGCACACATGCACCTGGTATGAATTTCAAGCCTCCAGGTCCAGAAATTGAATTGTGGTCAACCATGTGGGAGTCTAGCATCTTAACCACTTTGCCACCTGTTGGCCCCGATAAAACATTTTTAAAAGAAGTATTTAATTTTATCTATTATTATTTTTTAATTTGCTGTAGGGCATGTACACTCAACAGAGGGAGAGAGAAAGAAAGTGAGAAAGCAAGCCACCAGGTCTGGGACTTGAACCACAGTCAGCCATGTGGGAGTCCAGCACCTTAACCCCCACACCACCTACTGGCCCTGGATAAGACATATTAATAGGAGAGAATTGGAAATCTCTCTGATTCATTTTAAAGAAAATCACATTGCTTAACTTAACTAACCATTTGTGATCTAGCTTCTGCTGACTTAAACGACCCATCTCTTACCTGTCCTTGTTCTCTCTATACCAAACTTGCTTTGAACCTACCAAGCGCTAGCTGGATTCTTCATGTGTATAGCGGCCATTCCCTCTGTTAAAAACATACTTCTTAGAACCAGCAGTTGGCATAATGGCTATGTCACTGGACTCTCATGTAGTTGACCACAGTTCGAGTCCCAGACCCGGCAGCTTAAACTCACGCTGGGCGCATGTGCATGCATGCCCAAGATCCTGAGAGAAGAATGGAGGAGAAGGGATTGTGACATGGCCATTCCCCCGGTGGAGGGGGGTGATTTCTCGCTTTCTGTCTCTCTGTCTCTCTTTGTCTTTCTGGTGAAAGCATGTGCCCTGTAGCAAAAACCTCTTAAAAAAAATCTTCTTATATCTCCTCAACATCCTCTTTTATCTGACTTACACTTTTCACTTAGATTTCACTTTCCAGTTATAAGCCTTCCTTTATACCTCTATCATGTTGTGTAACCCCTTCTTCTGTGCTCCCAAAATTGCCTACATTTTTCAATGATAACACTTATCACCTTCTGTCTTTTTCTCTCACATACTTACACACATATGCACACAAACATTTGACTGAATCATTCAGTTATATGCCTAATGAAGGGGATTTTATTTCCAGGACCTAACACAGTGATTAGCACATAATAAGTCAGTAAATATTTTTGATGAATAAATGGCATGGCTTCTTTTCATTGACATCTTTTGTATTACTTAGTGCCTTTTATTAAAGTTGGCTTGTTCTTCTATTTTTTCAGTTATTCACAAATGTCACTTTGTGTTCATTTGATTGAATGGTAATTCTGTTTCTGGCTTTTAGACTATTGCTCATTTTAGTTCAACCAAAAATTTCAGTAAAAGGCTTATTCTTGTTGATTGCAGTTAGATAGTGGTTCTGAAGGGTCTGAAATATGAAACGACAATCCTAAAACAACTTTGTTTTCAGACTGAATCTAAATAACCGTTGTTTTAATGGAGTTGTATTTGTTTTCTGTTACAGCATTTTTTCTTTCTGGTCAAGGATTATGGAAGCTGGCTTGATATTGGAACGAGGTATAGTAAATATTTACATAGATGTTCTTAAGAGTTCTTGAAACGCAGTATCTTAGTTTAGAAAGTGCCAATATAATTTTGAGTTAATCATAATAAATAACAGTTTAAAAAAATTGCCACAAGGCATTTGTGTTCGCTGGAGAGAGAGAGGGAGAACCCCTGCAGAAGGAATGGTCATGTCATAATCCCTTCTTCTCCATTTCTGTCTCCTTTTGGGACTTAGGGCATGCGCACATACACACCCAGCATGTTTCTCCAGCTGCCAGGTCCAGGTCTTGAACTGCACAGTTGACCGTGTAAGATTCAGCAACCTTAACTACTATGCCACAGGCTAGCCCAGTAGGAATTTTTTTTGTTTTTAAAGAATTTACTTCTTCTTGGGAACCAGCAGTTAGCGTAATGGCTATGTCTCTGGACTCCCATGTAGTCGACTGCGGTTCGCGTCCCGGACCCGGTGGCTTAAAACTCACGCCTGGCTCCTGTGCATGCGTGCCCAAGATCCCGAGAGGAGAATGGAGGAGAAGGGATTGCGGCGTGACCATCCCCCTGGGGGGTGATTTCTCGCTTTCTGTCTCTCTGTCTCTCTCTGTCTGTCTGGTGAGCGCATGCGCCCTGTAGCGAAAAGCTCTCCAAAAAAAAAAAGAAAGAAGAATTACTTCTTTTTATTTAATTTAGTGTAGGGCACATGTACTCACTAGAGAGACAAAGAAAGACAGAAGTAAAGCTAGAAAGCAAGCCACCAGGCAAGGGACTCAAACCACAGTTAGCCGTGTGGGAGTCCAGTGCCTTAACCACCACGCCACCTGCTGGTCCCATATCGCAATTGTTTTAACCCTCTGAAATTACTTTCAGCCTCTCCAATCTTGGCAAGGGTTTTCTTGGGATGCTGTGGGCATAAGGGTGGATGTTAAGTCTAGAGAGAGTGGAAGGGCAGCAGGAAGATGCAAGGGAAACTGCTTGTACCTTCAGTGTAGCTCGCTCCAGCTTGCCAGAGAGGTGGAGAGACAGAAAACGAGAAATCACCCCCTGGGGGGATGGCCATGCTATGGTCCCTTCTCCTCCAGTCTCCTCTCAGGATTTTGGGCATGCACACACATGTGCCAGGAGTGTTTCAAGCTTCCAGGTCTGGGACTTGAACTGTGGTTAGCCTTGTAGGAATCCAGTGACATAATTGTTATGCCATCTGCTGGTCCCCCAGTGGGTTCTCTTAATCTCTGTATCTGTTTAAAAATAAAGCTGTCCTGTTGAGTTTTATGTGGTCATTTAAAGTTCATGTAATCATTATCTACCTCCTAGAATCTTCAATATGGAACCTTTATTCATGCGATAACTATAATGATATTTGAAGTGTAATCTGAACAAGAAGTTGGCTTCATTTTACTGCGATTTAAATGTCAATTGCTCTAATCTAAATTTCTTCCCTTTGAGAAGAAGAAAGCAAAGTTGATTCTTTTGTCTTCTTTTTCCCCAAATGCACTCTGAGTCAGAATACATTTTTATAAACTGACTATTTCTTTTAGTCAATATTTATTCAGCACTTGGTCTTTTCAGGAATGGTGTAGGCTTGCCTGGCACATTCTGCAGTAGACACTTTCCTCCCATGCTACCTCTCGGGCTGCCTATGGCTTGTACTGCGCTGCTATTTATATGCGCATCTGCCTCTCCCAACTGATTGGATTCCCTCCGATGTGGAATCCCATTTGTGTCTCTTACATACCAGACATGCATAGCCTGTAGAAGAGAGTCCATAGATCATAGATTTTGTTCTCATTTGTCTCTGAAATTTGAAAATATATGGAAAATTTTGGTATCTCTTTGTCACCCCAAAGAGTCTGAGCTGATACTGAGTCAGAACTTGGGCTTTAGACAAGAGCACCTGGGTTTGCACCCATTCTTGCCACTTATTAGTTGTGAGACCATTGTTAAGTGACTTGATCTCTCCAAGCCCCCTTTCTTTTTTAGTTATTTATTAATTTATACCTGATTGCCATAGGGTTTGTGCACTTACTAGAGGGAAAAAGAAAGGATCGCCCCCATGGAGTGTGGTCACATAATCCTTTTTCTACTATTTCTCCATCCTATCAAGATTTGGGGCATGCGTGCACACTGTTCCAGCATGTCTTTCAAGTTTCCAGGTCCAGATTTAAACCATGGTGGGCCATGTGGGGTCCTGCTCTCCATGCACGGACTTAACCTCCTGTGCTGCTTGGGCTGGCCTAGCCCTCCTTCCTCTTCACAGTAATTTGGAATGGATTAGGCCATGTATAAAACATTTAGTATAGTGCCTAGCATCTGGTAAGTTTCAGTAAGTATCAGCTATTATTGTTGATCTTTTGTAGTGTTTCATGTGTTTAACATAACCTCTTCATACTCTCTTCATAATTTGATAATTTATTTCTATTTTAGACATGAGTCAGAATTTTATTTGGAAAATATTCTGATAAAACATAGCATTTTTGTGTATGAGCCTTTTTTTTTAATTGTAGTAAAATGCACATAGCCTAATATTTGCTATCATAAGCATTCTTAAGTGTGTGGTTCAGTGGTTTTAAGTACATTCGTTCACACAGTTGTGCAGCTGTCCTCACCGTCTCCAGAACTCTCCCTGTGTAGCAAAACGGAGGCTCTGAACCCAATAAACCATAATTTCCTATTCTCTTAGCCACTGGCACCCTCCGTTCTATTTTCTGTTTCAATGACTTTGACTACTCCAGGTACCTCTTATAAGTGGGATCAAACAGAATTTGTGTTTTTGTAAAAGGCAAATACAGCATAATACCCTCAAGATTCATCCATGTTGTAGCATGTGTTAGAACCTGCTTCCTTCCAGGCTAATACATTCTATTACATAGATATATCCCATAAAATGGTATATTCGTTTACCATTCATTTGTCAGTGGACACTTGGGTTACTTCAATGCTGCCATGAATGTGAGATTGAGACATTTTTGGTGGGAGAGTTCATATTTGTTGGTTGTTAAAGAGGTGCCAGTGAATGAAGAGGATGTAATATCCGATGGAAGAGGTGCATAATTAATTGTGAGCAGCAATCATTAATTTATCCTGCACTAATGAAGAAGTTCAGGTTTTCTCTGATTAATGTGAGGCTTGTCATTACCTGGTATATTTTTTCTTCAAAGTATACATTTTTTGCTGTTGCTATCTGTATATTATATATGAGACACATGTATAATACATATAATGCCCAAAACCTCTTTCACAATCTTAAGTTAATCTAGCAAATATTTATTGAGTACCAGTTGTATGCCATGGGAATTGCTGGGGATAAACATCCCAGACATGGGCTCTCAGAGAACTTAGGGATACAGGAGAACAGAACTCAGTGAACAGGCAGTATGGTGCCGTGTGAGAAGTTCCCAAGTAGTCTCTTAGGTGCTGTGAGGACTCCCAGGGCTTTTATCTCAGACTTGCACAGAAGGCTTTGCAGGGGACAATCTGTCTGAATACTGCAAGGGTGGATTTTGGAGTACTTTGACCAAAGTACTACCAAAGCACAAGACCTTGGGAGGGCATGTAGGGTGAGAGAAGATGAAAGACAGAGAATAAGAAATGTGGACATGAGATGGGAAGAAGTGGCCAGAAAGAAGAGAAAAGCCAGGAGAGAGCAGTATTGTGGAAATCGAGAGCATTTCAGGAAGGAGTTAGTGCGGTGTCAGATATTACATGAGATCAGGTGGAGACACAGAGGTGTGCACCGTTCAGCAGCATTGGTCGCGGATGAGCTTGGATGGAGAAGTTTCAGTGGTAGATCCATCACTAGATTGCTGTCCTGAGTGAGGTCCTCCAGCCTTTGGATGAACACTGAAAACCAAACCAAAGATATTCGCTTTTCTTCTCCCTATAAGACTCAATAAAATGAATAGACCTGAAAGAAGTGAGGAGAATGGGAGAAGGATTATCAGCAAATTTGAATTCAACAAATTCCTAGAACATGGGTGATCAGAGAGAGGAGTCAACAGCCCGGAATCTATAGGCAGGTACATCAGCAGTGAAGGGAACCCCAGAGGCCCAGACTCAGTCAGATAGTGATGTGGAGGGAGGGGAGAACAAGGGAACCAGAGGATTGGCTGAATGTGGGTCCACCGAATGGTGACTAGCCTCTCTGCTCTCTGTCATCCCCAGGCAGAAAGCTTTAGACGTTTCACTCCCAGGAAACATACAGAGGGCGTCTCTAACCAGACTGCAAAAGGAGGGTCTAAGAATTTCACTGCTATGATAGACGTGCTTCCACTTCGGAGAAAAGCTGCCTCCCATTCCACCATTTTGTGGCTTCCCCCCACACCTAGCTCAGAGGGCAGAAACTGTCACTCCTCTTGCTCATGCCAAAACTTGACAGCAATTTCTATCACATACATGGAACCTATGGCAGCCATCATGTTAGTGGGTGAGACACAGAGGGAAAAGAAATGTTCTTAAAAAAGTTAAATGGTACCCGATGACCTAGCAATCCCACGCCTATGTATTTACCTAAGAGAACGAAATAGCGTATGTCCACAGAAAGATTTCTATAGGAATTTTCATAGCAGCTTTATTCATAGTAACCAAAATTTGTAATCGACCCGAATGTTCATCAGCACATGACTAAGTAAACATGTTTTCTTTTCTTTCTTTCTTTCTTTTTTTTTTTTTTTTGGTCATAGAGACACAGAGAGAGAGACAGTGAGAGGGCAAGTAAGAAATCACCCACCGGGGAGGATGGCCATGCCACAGGCCTCTTCTCCTGGGATTGTGGGCATGCACATACACGTGTCCAGCATGATTTTCAAGCTGCCAGGTCTGGGACTTGAATCATAGTTGCCCATGTGGGAATCCAGCGCCTTAACCACCATACCACCTACTGGCCCCAACACACTGCTTTACCCATGCAATGTAATAAAAAGAAATGATGGGTTGGCAGGTGGCATGGTGGTTAAGGGTGCTGGACTCCCACGTAGTCGACCACGGTTTGAGTCCTGGACCTGGCAACCTGCTTTCTCATC